TCGATCGATTCATTGATCGATTGATTTATCGAGCACGGGCAACCAATGAAGAGATCAATGAGATAAGAACAGATCATTGGTTGATTGATTGATCAGTTGTTCGATTGATTGATTGGTTGATTGATCAGTTGTTCGAGTGATCGATCGATCGATTGATTGATTGATCGACTAATTAATCGATTGAGTGACTGAGCCCGGTTGCCCGATGAATCGATCGATCAATCAATCAATAAACTGATCATAATATATCGAATTCATTGGTTGGTTGATGGATGATATGATCGATTGATCGTTCGACCGATCGACAATTTGACGTAGCACGAGCGACCTTTGAACGAAAACACAAAATAACGTTTGTCGTCTTCCTTTATCAATCAATCAACCAAACAATCGATCCGATTGATTGATTGACTGATTGATTGCCGATGGATTGATTAATTTATTAAGTTGATCGATTGATCGATTGGGGTCGGCGTGGGGATTGAAAAAGCGATGAGGTATCGAGAGAGAGATAGAGATAGATAGATAGATAGATAGATAGATAGATAGATAGATAGATAGATAGATAGATAGAGAGAGAGATAGAGAGATAGATAGATAGATAGATAGATAGATAGATAGATAGATAGAGACAGAGAGAGAGAGAGAGAGACGATAGATTGATTGATTGAATAATCAATAGATTAATTAATTTATCTAGTCGGTTGATTGATCGATCGGGGTCGGCGTGCGGATTGAAAAGGCGATGAGAGACAGGGACAAAGATAGAGAGAGAGAGAAAGAGAGAGAGAGGGAGAAAGAGAGCGAAGAGAAAACCACGAGAAAGTGGAGAGAGAGAGAGAGAGAGAGAGAGAGAGAGAGAGAGAGAGAGAGAGAGAGAGAGAGAGTGTGCTATGTGTCCGATATTGGATTCAACGGGGGTCTGGCGTTGAGCAGTTCAACTCCCGTTGAACCCCTGTTGCAACTCCGCGTTATACCTCGTTAGAATGGGGTACAACTCGGCCCGCGAGTTGTGTTTTCGACCGAGAAAAAACGGTAAGAAAAAAATAAAAAAATATGTGGGTGTAGAGGCTTTCGCGTTCTACATCCCCATTTATTTTAATTTTTTTTGAGGAAGTATATGATTTTAAAAAAATAAAAAATCATTAGAGTGTACGTTCAAAGGGAAAATAAACGACCTCTGGCAGGCCGGTAGGGGGGGGGCGAGCTGGGTGGGGGGATCCGGATCGGTACCGGCGAGCAGGGGACAGTTTGCTGCTGAAACGCGTAAACCGCGCGTGTGTCGTGCAGCAAACATTGCCAAACAACACGGATCGGCCACAAAAAAGGCCGAGTGTCAGAATTTTATCACGTTGTGTCATTGTCGTTGTGAGATAAGCAGTGCGCCGTTGTGCAGTCAGTGCCAGTGACTGCAGTTCAGAGCCCTTGGTGTGGCACAGTGGCAAAGGAGGCGCGGCGAGATCTGGCGCAGGGTCGAAGACCAACGGTGCAACGGGGGTGGACGGGTGCACGAGGGGGTGCCGACGCGACAAACGGCCGAACACAAGGCGATCAGCGGACGATCAACGGGGGATCAACGGATCAACGGGGATCAACGGTGGAAGCGCGGGTGTGTGGGGGGGGGGTAGGGTTGTGCGGACTACGCGGGAGCGACACGGGGGGGTCGGCGCCGTACGGAAGCGAGAGAGAGAAACGGCGGGAGAGAGAGAGAGAGAGAGAGAGAGAGAGAGAGAGAGAGAGAGAGAGAGAGAGAGAGAGAGAGAGAGAGAGAGAGAGCGAGAG